CTAAAGAAGTTTTACTTCAAAAAAGTTGATTTTTTCGCAAAAATCACCTCCGGGTAATTAATTATCACATATATCCTTTACCTTTTGCCTCGATAAATCCCTTCCAGTGGCCAGCCAAGCGCTGACACCAAAATCAGCAATTTGTACAGTTCCATCTTCGCCGAGTAAAATATTACCAGCTTTTATATCTCTATGAATTTGTCCGTTACTGTGGAAATATTCTAAGCCTTTTAGTACCTACAAAAGAAAAAACACCGGTTTTAAAAACCGTTTTTTGGCGAAAATTATGGAATTCGAAAACCGGTTTTTTAGTGAAAAAAGTCGGTTTTCACTGTATAAATGGATAATGACAAATATAGCCAAATATAAAAGATAGATGAAAGCGTTTTGATACTTGAAATCATATCGGTTAAATAGCATTTCATTTCTTATCAGTTTGCAATGGTTCCCAGAAAGGTTTTGTATATATTAATTTAGATTTTTATACCAGTGTTTGTATTAATTTAAATCAGTGTGACTTCTTCTTGAAGAAGTAACTTCCTCTACTCAAACTTAAAAAAAAAAGGGTTTTAACCCCTAGAAGCCATAAATTAAATAACAAAAAACTTAGAACAACAATTAGATACAACAAGTAAAAGAAAGAGCGGTTCGAATAGTTTTTAACGGACTCGAAACTTTAAACTATGTTTTTCAAACTTGTCTCCATTGTATCTCAGAAACGGCTTGACCGAATTACTTGAAATTTACAGGGCACACTCAATATATTTAAACGCATGGAATGAACTATTATCAAATTTTCGAAACTTCGATTTTTTTATAGCAAAAAACAAAAAAAAACGCCTAATTTGCAACTTTTATTTCAAATGTCTATCAAAAATCCAATTTTTATTTAAAACTAGATGACCCGACAGACGTTGTCCTGTACCCATGTCTACAATTTTTAATATAATACTAATATTTACCGTTTACTTAAAAATAATAATTATTGACTGATTAATACTTAATTTCATATTTTAAGTGAATTAATTTGTCATATCCTGTTCATATGTATATCATTCAATCTGCCATCATATATCTGCCATCATACTGTATCTTATATTATTTTAATTTCTGGCACATCTCAGCTGCTTTTTGGCAATAACAATGTAGGCATTTCATTTTTCTTATTAATAATCATAAATTTATTATACATATACTAATATGATTTAGTTTCATAAGTAAATTGAAATTTTTGGCAGATGATAGTTTTCATTTGTTGTCAGTGCAAAAAATTACATGTCGTTTTTTTTTTCAATTTTTTCCATTTATTTTATATAATAGATTTCTACAATATTGCACATACATCCCAGTACTTTACAATCAAATACATCCTAGAAAATTTCCTTAACAAACTTCAGAAAGATTTATCAAAGTCCGAATAATCGTTTAGGAGGAGTATACAGTGAGTGCTTGTAATTTAATATGAACTTTATATAATAGCAATTAAGTTCAAATTGATTCTACGTTTTAGTTAGAAAACGTTTGTACGTGAAAAAGAAAAGGGCTGTTTTTAGGGTTTTCCCGGCAATTATTGGATTTTTTCTCGCCGTAAGAACCATCCTTGGACTTCAACGAACATTTTAAAAAAAGAATTGGCCAAATTGGTCCGGGCGTTGTTGAGTTATGCACTTACCAACACATTTTGCGATTCATTTTTATATATAACACAATATAAAAATATTTATTTCAATTAAAACGTCGTTTATTTTTTTTTTTCAGATAAGCCGATCAGCCGGAATCGTGGAGGAAGTGTGAGCTCTTTTTTTCGAGGCGGGGGTGTTCAGAGCGCTGTAACTCTAGTTTGACTGAATATTTTTAGCTGAAATTTTATATTTATACTGTCCAAATATGTGTTAATAAATGATAAAAAACTTGAAGCTCTAAATATTTACTGGTCGTAGAAAAAAAATCCTAAAATATTCCTAAAAAACAGGCCGTCACATAGGAAGACTCCCTTAAAAACAATTAAGCATAATTTAGTCGCAAGTATGAGAGTATTTTCTATTTCAGGAAATTTTGTGAGTAAACAAAGGACACGTCTAAGTAGCAATTTCGATAGACGTTCTCAATTCTTTTAAATCATATTTATATTAAACAAAAAATTAGAATGTTTAAAATTAATTAATTAAAATTGCTCGGTACAGAAATAAACTTAGCAAAATAAATTTAGCTTAATTGTTTTTAGAACTAAAATTGATATTAACAAGTATGTATCAACATGTATCTATTTTTTTATTTTATTTAAAAATGTATTATTTATATTTATTCGAGAACTTTCCTTTCACTATCATAAAAATATTTTCATTCTTATATGTGAAAATGATGCATGAATAAATAATAATTATTTTCAAAGTTATTTAATCAAGATAAACAATTATTTTTTAGTTCTACTAATTAAAATTAAAATAATTTTGTTTACTATATATAAAATTGAACAATAAATAAATTCAGTCAAATACTGCTCTAAATCACACTAAATTTGCGGATAAATTACAGAATATTCGAGCAAAAATTTATTTTCTATATAAAATTCGAAAACCGGTTAAAATTGGTTTTTAGTAAAATTAAAATTCGAAAACCGATTTTCTGAAATGTCGGTTTTTGTATAAACCTTAATCACAACCAATAATATATTAGGTTGTCAAATATCTCCCTTCCGCTTTTTTGCTCTTGGTTTATAATACAAAAAGGCGGAAGGGAGATATTTGACAACCTAATATAATCAACAAAACATAACCTTTTATTATTATTATTACCTCTTTCAATACGGTTGCTATCGTGGCCTCATCGAATACACCATGTTTACAATTCGAGACTCTAGCCTTATGTTTTATAATATCAAGTAAACTGCCACCTTCGAGAAGTCTCAAGACCAGCCATAGTTCTTCTCGAACAACAAAACTCGTGTGATATGTTACCACGTTCTCGTGGTTGCAGGAACTCATCGCCTGGAATAAAGGATCCAGGTAATAATTAAAGAATTAAATAAATTAGTATATATATATATATATATATATAAATCTCGTGTCACGATGTTGGTTCGCGATGGACGCCCAAACTACTGAACCGATTTTAAATTTTATTGGCTCATCGTGTGCATATATATCCAACTTAGGTTATAGAAAGTTTTGAAAAGAAAATTTAAAATATAAACATATAATTTTTATAAATTTCTAAAAATTTTGACAGAAAATGACTAAAAAAACAAAACACTAAAATGACAATTGTCAAAATTTATGGAAAATTCGAGAAAAAAGGTTTATGATTTTTGAAAAAAAAAATATTTGACAGTTCAAAAAATATAATTCAAAAACGTATACATATATAGATATATCCAACATTTATATCCAAATTAGATGAAATGCTATATTCAAAATCACAATTTATAGTTTTAAATCTAATTAAAAGTCAATGTTTATAAATTTGAATAAATGTTGACATGAAAATCGTCAAATGTCATTTGTCAATATTTATGAAAATAATTATATAAATAGTTTTACAATTTATATTTATTTAATCAGCTTACCAAATTATTTCGGATACCAAAACTTCATCAAAACATTATAGATCAGAGATCAAAATAAAAAAGCGGCATATTGAATTTAAAATTAATCATAAACAAAAATTTGACTTTTCACAAAAAAAATGTTTAACGACTTCAGTAGGAAACAAATAAATTAATTATTCCAAGTTATGTTATAGGCAATATTGCCAAACAAATTATAGATTCAAAACATTATTGTAAAATAAATACTATCATTTTCAGCTAAATTGTGCATATTTGATATATGAAATTGACATTCACTATTTAAGTTTTGAAAATTATAACAAGTTTTTACCTATTTGTCAGAAAGAATATATTTTATTACAAATTCATATCCATATCAAACACCAAAGTAATAAATAATACTTATTAAATGGCATATTATTTATAGACAATATTAAATGCATATTTTAATTATATTCTTTGACATTTACTAACTCAAAATAAATTAAAAATAATTGAAAACAATGTCATAAATCGGATATTTATGGAAAAATATCAAATAAATATATTTATGTATCACTTGATTTTAAATAAAAAAAAAACTAATTGCTATGCCAAAATAGATAGCATATTCATCTAAAATTATAGTCTAAATATTACAATTTTAATAAATAATCATCCAATATTTTACAGTACGATTATTGATAAAAAATTAATAAAAGTTCCAAAAATCCAAAACATTTAATAGATTTGGATTCGTATTTCTCAGAACTTTATCCATGTTTGTTCCAGGGATAGTATGAATATCAATTTATAGTCGAAAATTTATATGATAAGTGATTAAAACATTATTATAGATAACAATAAAAAAGCGACATATTGAATTTAACATTAATCATAAACAAAGTTTTGACAGTTCAAAAGAAATGAATTTTTAACGACTTCAATAAGAAACAAATAAATTAATTATTCCAAGTTATGTTATAGGCAATATTGGCAATCAAATTATAGATATAAATTATATCATATTATATAAAATTTCGATCAAGAAGGAAATATTTTCGCATTTAAAAATTTAGTGCATATTGGATATATGAAATTGACATTCAATATTTTTAAATTAAATGCAAAAGTAAAAAATCTGATATTTATTAAAAATATTATATACTTAGATAACGGTACTGCGTTGATTCAGACTAAAATCTAATTTATTCATTGATTAAAAAAAAATTCACTATTTGACATAAATAAAATTAAAATAAACAAAACACTGTGATGCGTTGGAATTAATTATCGAAATGTAAAAAATTTGTGTAATAAAAATATAACATTATTATTAATATATCATGTATATTATAAGAACTTCTGCAAAGCGGCAAAATATTTTTGATGGCAAAACAACGTTTGCCGGGTCAGCTAGTATATATATATATATATATATATATATATATATATAGCTTATTATTTTCTGTACCTGTATTTCTTTTAATAGTTCATCCATACTCGTGTTCCATTTTTCCAAATTGATTCGTTTGATGGCACATTTTTCGTTTCTTGGTTTACAAAGCGCAGCATGAACGACTGCAGTTGCACCGACACCTAGATAAACGAAAATAAAAATAAATTAGGTGTAAATGGCATTTTGCCTTGAGGCAAGTTACATAAACTCCCCCGATTCGCGTACATTGTGAAACTTATTAATAATACTTTGTTTGGAACATGATCTACCTATCTATTTGTCTACTAAATACTGATTTGTAATGGTCAATTTAACCACCAAATGGTAATTATTCTGATTTTTTCTTTTCCTGCTACTTCCAAACCTCTGGACCTGCCTTCCCAAAAATGTGAATAATTCTCCGTTCTGTTAAGAGCCTAATTGGTATTTTCTAGACTTTTTCTCGGTTTTTATTCATTCTCTAAGTAAAAAACATAAGCCTATAATATTTTGAGGCATTTACAAATTAATTCCATAACCATGCAAAGACGCATTTACTTCCCAGACTCGAAAAGATCTTTTGATTTTTTTTTGTAAGTTGATATTTCATTGAATGAAAAGAAATTTATTGAAAATTCTTTACATTTTTTCGAAAATATTTATTTTTTATTCAAAAATCAGTACTGAGCCATGCTTTGGTAAAGTTTATATATATATATATATATATATATATATATATATATATATATAATTTCAATATTTTCACCTATAAAATTTTATAAGTAAATTTCAAAGACGTCTTTCATGCATGTCCATATGTCAGTTTATTATTTTAATGTTTGGAATAATTCCAGAAATAATATGCTCGCGTTTTTTATATCAAATAATATATATATATATATATATATATATATATATCATATATATAACATGGTTATGATGATAATTCTTGGAAATTTACAGACTAATTTTACATTTTTTAGTGTATCATTAAAATTATACACTGAGGCCATAAGAACAATAAAACGCACGATATATACATATAACAAATTTAAAGAAATTTTGAATTACAAAATGTGTTTCTTCGCTTGAAAAAAAATTTATAAAATCACTTTTGATAAAATCTTTTTTAGTGAAAAAGTATTAGTGTATAATCAATCATACAGGTAATTAATTCTGTTTTTCAATAACCTTTTCTTAGAACTTTTTAGTTTTTAACATTTTTAATATTGTTATATAATTCACTCATTTATTGTTATTAATTTCATTATAATGAAAACGAACGAAGACGTTAACTCGGAGTATTTTCTAAAAGCAAATTTTCACAAATCAATATTTTTTATAATTGAACCATATTCCGTAGGACTTTAATGGTTCAGTATGTTCATTAAGACCAAGTAATCTATCGCTATACCAAGTAAATCATCTAATTTTAATTTTAACAAACGTTAAAAAACTACTCATTTTCTCAAACTTTGATGAATTTTTAAAATTAAACGACTTGTCGTAAAGCCATCATTTTTCAGTAAGTTCTATAAGACCAAGTTAAAAAAGTTCCATAAAAATCGGCTTCAATTTCCTTTTTCAACAGTTAATTACAAGAAAACTGCTCGGTAGATTTTCACCTAAAACTAATCAGTATCATTCCCAACTAATATCTTTCGAACAGTTTTTGATTTTTTAAAATCGATTCGGCAGTATGAGCTTAGATGTGGACGAAAAGTTTAACAATTTTTTCCAAATTACAAAGAAACGGCTCGGCCGATCGTTGCATAAAACTGAGAAACGATAATCCTCATCGAGATACATCAAATGGCTTTTAAATTTCTGAAATCGGTTCAGGCGTTTTTGAGCAAACGTCGATGAATGTTCTAATTTTGACAAATGCCAAAAATACTATACTAATTTTTGCAAACTTTGGCGAATTTTTAAAGCTAAACGAGTTGTCGTAGGGCCGTAATATTTTAGTATGATCTGGAAGACTATGGTATCTACCGTCAAAAAAATAATAAAAATCGACGAAACAAATTTTTTGCTTATTACAAAAAAACGGCCCGGCCGATCTCTACCAAAAACTTAATCAGGTCGATTCCCAACCAACATTTTTCGAACGATTTTTGAATTTTCAAAATCGATTCAGAATTTCAAGCTAAAACGTGGACGAAGAATTTTTCAATTTTCTGCTATTTATAAAGAAACGGCTTGGACGATCGTCGCACAAAACTCAGAAACACTAATCCTCATCGAGATACATCGAATGGCTTTTAAATTTTTGAAATCGGCCCAGCCGTTTTCGAGAAAATGTCGATTTACGGCAAAAAATCTGTTCACATACACACACATACTTTTTCCAAATTTGGTCTCATTCGATTCAGAATGACATGAAACGTCGAGAAAACATAAAATTAGCGAATCGGATTTTTTGATGAAAACAAACTTCTTCGGGAAGTTAATAATCGAAATAATTATCGAGCTAGCAAATTCTAAAAGGACTCTACTGACGAACAAACAAAAAATTCTATTAACGAAAAAATTTAGAAGTCAATTCTCCGATAAAATAGAAATGTTATGGCAAAGCTATGATACGATCCTATCTTCGCATGAATTGGTAGTAACAAACTGTCCAAAAGCTAAGTGTTTGCACACATAAAACCTAACCTACAAAACGCACAACGTCAAATAACAATCCAATAATATCTAAGCATCTTTCAGACTAAGGAATGCAATACCGGTATACCGAATTACCGGTAAACCGCCCCATTTTTCGGCGGTATTTACCCCAAAAATACCCGTATTTTGGTGTTTTTACATAAGCGCTATTTAATTCATAATACCCTAAAGTTTAAATTTCTCGGAACAAATTTATCTTTAAATTCCATAATCGCATAAACAGCTATATCTTCAAGTGATTCTATTGGATAAACAAATGTCAAATATTATCTCAACTGAATATTTATTGTTTTACTAAGGGCTACATATCGTGTTACAATAAATAGAATTGGACTGATAGATAATGATGTTTGTTTCATCTTTTGTAAAAATGTAACGGTTTTTGAAGTGATATTTACGCCAAAATATTTTATATCATACAGATCACCCCTGCGTAATCTTTATTTTTTTCTAACTTTATGCATAATAATTATATAATTACTAAATATTTTTGCTTCTTATTACATTTATAAAATATAATTTTTCGAAAACGTTTCGTAGTTTGAAAATACTATAGAAGCATCACATTGCTTTAAATAACAATACTCAACAATTATAGTAACTTATCATTTATCTCGACAAAGTATCCGATCTTAAATTAGTGTAGAAAAAAAAATTATTTACTGACACGGACACACGATACTGACAATACAGTTTATTATAATAATGTAATATGATCTTTTATGAGTTTTTGGTCTTTCCTACTCATAAGTTTGTTTTTGGTGAAAAGTACTCAATATACTCATTTTTTTATATTTGTACTAGTAACTTTCAATTTTGTTTACGTTTGTTTAAGATAATAAAAATACCGGTAATTTACCGGTATTCCTGTTTTAAAATAAAAAATTACCGAAATACCGGTATTAAAATGTTTCATCGGTATTGCATTCCCTATTTCAGGCCTCTCTTTGATAACACATATGCAAAGTTAAGTTTCACGCAATAAAAAATTATAAAACCAACTACAAAACATCTTACGGTAGTAACTTGCCAATAGATGTACCATCATCTATCCATCAATTTCTGGTGCCCCTCCTGATACTGCTTTTGCTGCTTTTTCCGCCTTAATTGATTCGTTTGACGTCCGTTGATGTTTGCTCAAATGATTTGTTTGACGCCAACGTCGCGTGCAACCATCAAATAATAAATGGTAATTGTATTGGTAAATTGGTGGTAAGTGATAAAAATCAAAGCAAAAGAATCACTTACCACTACTCGTCTCAACTGCCAATTGGGAATAATTGATAAAATCAGATTGCGGATGATGGACTCATTTAACCCGGATCATAAATTCTATTAGTTGTTGTCAGAAAATCCGTATTGCCTTTTTTTCGTTTTCTTGAGGTTTCAAGTCATTTTGAATCGTTTGACACCCAAATTGAAAACAACAAAATGTTTCTTTAGGCAGTTTAAGGGGAACAACTAGTGTAAAATTTTCAAAAAATCGAATTTCCATTTTTTTCATATTTCGATAGGTTATACCTATAAAAATAACATACCAAAATTTCAAATCGATATCTTGAATAGTTTTTTAGTTACAGCCATGAATAGCTAAGATACTATTTCAAAGCAGAGGGCAAGAGACATGTTATCAGTCATCGCCTCAAATCGGGCGATCTTGCAACCACGAGAACGGTTACATTATCAATTTTGTAACGATGGATTTTTTTAGTGTTGTTAGTCCTTTTGGTTTTGAGCACTGTTATTTAGTTTATTATACCTGAATATAATTTTTAATTAAACTTTAGTTTATAGTTTTATATGGTATGATGTTATTTTCAAATTAGATTCATCTTTTTTTTAGTCTTGATTTCTATAGAAGAGATAATAAAGATCTAAATAGTGCCACATATGACAGTAGTAAGAGTTGATAAATAAATTTGTTTCTGGAATATATAAATAATTTATAATTGATTTATAACATTAAAGGGCACAACTAGTGTGAAATTTTCAAAAAATCGAATTTTCAATTTTTCCATATTTTGATAGGTTATACCTTTAAAAATAACATACCAAAATTTTAAATCGATAGTTTTTGAGTTACAGCCATTTAAATAGTGTATATATAGTATATAGTATAACGATCATTTAATCTTTAAACGCGTTTATCTCGAAACAGCATTTTCCAAATTTGCTGCAGCGATTACTCAAAAACAAATGATCCGATAACTACCATTTTTTTTTTTAATTTTCTGTATATACTTCTCCTTAAAATAAACTATCGATTTTTTGATCGGATCAAAAATCGAATTTTGGCAGTCCAAAAACGACCAAAATTTTGGGTGACATTCGATTTTTCTTACGCCGTCATTTTGTCAATTTTTGATTTTTTTTCTTTATCGTAGTTCATTTTACAAACAATATTATCTAGTTTAACGAGAACTTTTTTTTTAAAATTCATCCACGTAGAAGGCCGGAATCACTGCAGCAGTGAAGGGCCTTTTTTTGTCGC